AAAGCAGTTTAATTTTTCTGAATGTCATATTAATGCAAGAGTCACAATAAAGCCCAGCTATCTTTGGGATTCTTGTCCAAAATAACCCTTCATGTCTTAATTCTCATTGCTCAGCTTTTTAGCTAAAATGTTCACATTACCGTCTAGATTTTTTTGGGAAGCTGTGGTTCTCATTTTACCACATCTTGAGTTGAACTGTGAATTAGATCTCAATGTCTGAGAATTTTGAGATGAAGTGTAACTTGTGTTCCCTGCAGCAGACTTCAGTACACTGTAAAATAGCCAGAACTGATTGCATTCAGAAATGTGGCTGTTTTGCAGAGCACTTGGGTAGGGAACAAGATCGTGGGTTCCAGGTTGTACCTGGTCTGATCTCCTGTCTCTTAGAATTAATGTCCCGCTTATCTGATAAGCAAGAGTGATCTTTAAATAGGAATCATCATAGTGCAAAGAAGGCACAATATTTACATTCTTAATATGTGAATTTTTCTGGTGGGCTACATGGAAGCTGCAGAATGGCCTGCTGAGTTACTAAATGTATGGATATATTTTCCATTTGTCAATGCATGAGTTTTCAGTCTAGCAAAATTTTTCCATTTATAGAGATAAATGGTTGCCACTTCTGTAATTGCAGTTAAGCAGTAGTTATTGCATGCTGTGTCCAACACTTGTGGCTTAACTGCAGTTCATGTCGATGAAAGTGTTTCCATATTGCTTTTTTCTTCCTTAGTCTATAATGGAGGACTTTGAATTGTTCATTTGTAAAAGCTCTGTACATTTATTGATAAAGGTGATAGCTATCTTTTCTGTATAGGAGAAGATAATGGGGTCCTTTCATGTGTGCATTTGAGTGACTATTTTAAATACTCTTATTTTTTGCTAAGGTAATGTCCTCTGTAGGATTTAATTTTATTTTTTTATACTAAAAACTAGGAGCTGCAAACTTAATTGAAGCATTCTGAATTATACAACAAAATAGGGTAAAATACAACATATATAATTGCTTGTCTTCTGTTTATAGAGTATTTAAAGAGCAACCATGAAGTTGCCACTCAGTTTCTGAGTGGCAACTGTGAATTTGATTACTCTCTTGTCCATTTCTGAAAACTGTATGCATCAGCAACTGTTGGCACACTGAGGAAAACGGTACTGCCTGGTTTATCTTTTCCTTTTTAGACATTATCACCATTTTTGCTATGCTGAAAACTATTCTAAATGAAAACTTCAGTTTCTCTAAAATTTGTATCTTGCTTCAAAAGTAACTTTTTCTTTTCACTCACCAATAATTCTTGCCCAACTGTTCTCCATAGTATTTCATGTTTGACATTCAGTCATTTGTACAGAACATAGCTAAACATATTACAAAGAGTGATTTGAGTAACCTCTACTTAAGATTTAAAAATCTGAATGAATGATCACCAGAACCACACCCATAAAAGAAAAATGAAATAGAGGTAAAATGGGCATCCCACAACCATAGAGTGAATGTTGGAGAGACCTTTTCATTGCAAGGTATGTCAGCTCAGTTATAATTGGCTCTAATTAGTACACTATTCTGCTGGAAAAGTTATTTTACCTTGAAGTTCAGTGATGCTTAAAGATGTGGAATTTCTTCCTACATTTGAAAACATCAAATAAATTGTTTTCAATCTAGCTTTTGTAACTAAAAATTGAGTGATTCATGTAGGAAAGGTGCAGATATATCAACAGGCATAAAAAATACTGATCTCTGGCTAAAAGAACTCTTAAACGGTTAAGTGGTCAAACCAGATTTCATTGTCTGTAATTAAAAATATACCTACATAGATCATTATGTAGATATACAACCAAATACCAGTTATATTTTCAGCAATATGTAAGTAAATAATGGACTTAAATAAATGTGGTCAGAATCAACTTGAAGATTTCTTAGTTATCTGTTCAGCCATCCTGATAGCTTTCAATTTCACATTGGAAAACCAAGTTGTGGAAGGTTAGTTGTGGTCACATGCAGGTTATAATGTGTTAATTTTCTTTATCCTGATATATGTTTTCATAAAATATTTTCATCTATTTGAAGGATCTAATTGATGTATCTATGCAGCACAACTACATGAAATTCTGAAATACACATGGCAGTGCCAGTTGATTTCTTAATACTGTTATGGGCTAAATGTAGTTGAGCATGTCATTGAAACTGCATGTCATCATTTTTATTATTAACACTCATTTTCAATTGCTTCTAAGTTTCTTCCAAGTTGTACCATACTTTTCAAAAGTGTGTATTGTTGAATAAGATTGGCAATACTACAGACAAAACAGCCAAATTAAAAATAAATCATAGAATTGTTCTAGTACCATGTTCTTTAGTAAAACAAATTTAAAAACGTGATTGTAGCTTAATGTACTAAATGTAGTGATTTTGTCCTAATACAAGAAAACTCACTACAAATAGGTTTTTTTAGGTAGGTAATTTTCATGGATTGACAACACAATAAGGGATGCTGGTCATGCTTCCAGCAGAATATAGGTGCAGAAGTTAGTCCTTTCTTTATTCTGTGGCATTGCCTTACAGAAAAGTTCAGTGGGTAAGGAGTCAGCCAATGCACCCTTTCAGTTATAGTTCCAGACTTTGCAAAACAGCAAACAGGTGCAGTCATCTGCCTTGTGTATCTGATGCTCGTTTTACTAAAAGTGCAGAATAAAAACTGATGAAACTGTTTACACAAGGAGCAAGAGTAATTTGAGAGGAAGGTATCAGCTGAGAATAACTGAGTTTTGTTGTATTAATGGCGTGAAAAAAGATACTTTGTCACTTCTTTCTGTTACCTGCAACTTCTTATTTTCTTTTCCTTGTGTTTTATAGCATAAAATGAAGATCAGATGAAGTTCCATCACTTGGGGAACTTCAAGTGATGGAACTTCATCTGATCAGCCAGATCATATTCAGTGTCACCAGATTATATCCAGTGTTTTAGAAATATAGGAGTAAAGCAAAATCTGGGATAAAATAGAAGCATGCATAGTGTGCAGTGCAAGGTTAGGAAGGTTGCTAGTGGCTGCCTAATGTTGGGCTTAGTTACCCAAGGCTGCATCTATTTGTGCAACCTTCTTTCATCTATTCCCTCTGTTACAATCCAAATTAACACAGAAGAGCAAGAAAAACTAAGTCTCTTTGAATAAAATTGATCAAACCCAGAAAGTTTTGAAATATACCTCAAAACTTGATTAAACCAGGTTAGATGTTGGTGCCAAAACACTTGATGTATTTTATTTAATAGTAAAAGAGGCAAAGAGAAAACAACATAAATAGAAAGAAATGAATAGAAAGATAAAAGAAAGAAAGGACTAGAAAGAGAAAAGAAAGAAATAGAAAAAGAGATGTGCAGGGGGTGGGAGGCAGAGAGCAACAGGGGTGAGGTAGAAAGATCAGCCTTCTGAGGGTCCCAGTGACATCTAGTGGCTCCCCTCCATCTGGCTTCTTGGTGGCAGGGGTCCTCCACTACTGCCACAAAGCAATGGCATGCAATGGATTAAAAAATGTTTATATTATTGAGGTGGAACACCAATGTGCCTCCCCTGGGGAGGGCAAGTTTGGTGTTGTCCTTGCGACACTGTAGGTCTGTTGCATCATGTTGCAGTGCTCTGCTGCAGGGTCTGGGGGACCTTTGGGGACCATGACACCCCTTTCACCTTTCCCAGAGTGCAGGGACCCCACAGCTGAGCTCTGCACAGCAGAGAATGGGCATTCAATGCCTCTCACCAGAGTTTTTTTTGCCATACACCCAAAGCCTCTCTCCCCCCACCCATTGGTGTGAGGGTCTGTGTGAGCCTGGCAGTTGGCAGCCCTGGGCTGTGGTCTGGTCCCTGAAGGTTCTAAGCTTGATCCTTCTGGAAATTAGTTCTTCTTCCCCAGCCCAGGCCTGAGTCACTTTATCTTATCTCCATCAACATGCAGCCCAAGGCCCCATTCAGGGTTTGAGTGGTTTTCTCTGCAGCTTTTACACAGTTTTGCTGTAATAGGCAAAAGTCTTTAATGAAGCTATTTAAGCCATAAATTAGAAAATTCCAGTCTCCAACCATCCAGTTACTGAATTGATTCACACAAAAAGCAAAACAAACTTGTGATTAGTCCATGAGAAGTAAGAAACTTGTGAGAAGTCCATGACTAGAAAACTTGTGTCTAGTCATGCACTTCTGATAAACTTCAAGCAGTGGGACTTCAACAAGGCTCCAAAGATGAAAACAGCATATCAAATGCTTTTAGATAGCTGAAGGTTCAGTCTTAAAATGGAAAGAAGTTTCTCCATTAACCTATTGATACTAAAGTTGTGATCTCTACCTTCAGATATATTGTTACTCTAAGATTATTGGGAGGTTGCAAAACTTGGTTACAAAAGTATTACAAAATTACAAAAGTAGAAGCTGATTCTCGTAAAATGAGAGTATTCTTTCAATGCTACTGTTACCTCCAGCAAGTTTATTAGGTCTGGAGTACGTGTAGTTAGGTGAGCTGCCCATACTGACTGGCTGAAATATGCTGCTTTTCATAGATAGAATAATAGAGGAGGACTGATTTCTTGCATTCCTTCCTTCCTGTATAGCATGAAGTGAATCACGGGTTAAAAGTATATGCTGATTAAGTCACGATGACAGCTGCAGAGTTGAATCAAAACTAAGGCTTATGATTTTTGGGGCACCTTCAGAAAGGATGTGTAACACTCCATATGAACAACCCTGAGGTTTCAGACTAAAGCCTTCTAAAATTAGTGTACATCAAGGTCTCTGGTTGTATTTCTGTGCATGCAGAATGACTGCTACAAATTGCTAGTTAATGGCAGATTTTTGACTTAAAATATGTGATGGATTTAATCTAAAAGAAACCAGAAGGAATATGGTTTAACATATTTTGATATGGATTAGATCCACAGAATTAAAATGGCCTTCTGCTTCAAATGCTGATAGATTTTAATGTTGGGTTATTTTGTTATTTATTTAGGTTTTCTGTTTCTGTTTTACAGTGTTATGTGGGAGCCGATGGGAGATGGTAAAAAGATTATTTCACTGGCTGATAACAACATATTATTGTGGGATTTGCAGGAAAGTTCAACCAAAGCTGTGGTAAGAAATTTTCTTTTAACAAAACATGCTGTACTTGAATATAGTCCAAATATCAACATTCCTTAGCCTAGAATTTTCTATCTTTTGCTAATCTTTTAACTATTCCTCCAGAAGTATCTTGTTGCCTAACGTAGGTGGAAGAAATGAATATTCTACCACCATCTTAAATAAGAGTGTTTAAGAGTAGTATTTTAGTATCTGTTGCTAGTGGGTAAATGTTTTCTTTATTCTAGAGTTCCCCTTACTGTCCTACTGCTTTTATAGTGAGTAATCTAGAATAAAGTAGTGCTGATTTGGTGAATGTCTACAACTGGAAAAACCGATAATCAGTAAAGCCAAAGGTTACTGAATTCAGATAATGATGTAGTTACTCATGTTGGTTAATGGCATACAGCCCTTTATTAAATTTACCACTCTTGATTGTGTAAGCATAATATAAGTTTCTCTATTTGCTATGTAATGCTTTGAATTTTAAATGTTAGTTTAATTTAGTAATATACAGTTAATTCAGATTATTTCACTTATTGTTAAAAATGTCTTAGGAACATATATAAAAAAGTGTCATTGGCATAGATTTCTGTCTGATTATGCCATATCGTAAAATCTATATGGAAAACTTTGAATCATTCTGTATAGTCATTTAGATCAGTGTCTGAGCTTCTAAGTGTAAACTCCTTATGTCAGGGACATTACTATTCACTTGATCTGTTGTCACTTTTAACTCTTCAGGTCAGGGTTAATTTTTTTCCTGGATGCTGCGGAATCAGTTTTTTCAATTTAGTCAAGACACTGTCCATAAACTCTTCCCTGTTTATACCACCTGACTGTGTACAAATAGATGACAATATAATATAATATATTTTAATACTGTATGTTTATAAATAAGCCCTTTGGGTTCCCTCTCTAGATGAGAAACTTCAGCTCTTTTTTTCATCTGCAACTTCAATAGGTGTTATGTTGCCTTCCAAGGCTTCAAATTAGTGTTTGTTTTTATCAAATTGATGTTGAGAGTTTCTGACAGCTTACCTCCAGGAGCTTGTCTGTGGCATTGTATCCCCTGGATTTGCATTGCACCTGCATTAGTAAGTGTTTCTTTCCTAATATCTGCATAATACACAAACCTTTCTGCAATATTGAAAAACTACTTTGGGGTTGGTACTGCTTCCATGCTATGAGTCCTCATGTCTCCTTGAAGTACTGAGACTGCTAGGCAACTTAGCATTTTCTCTTTCTCCTACTTTCACTCCTTGTGCAGCTCTGTCCTCACTTGCTGAAATACTTTTGAATGCTAATTAGTATCTTCACTGTTTGACCACTTTCTCCTGACTCTCTCAGAGTTTTTCTTAATCCTAACCTCTCTCCCATGGCAGGGGGTTGGTATTAAATGATCTTTAAGGCCCCTTTAAACCCAAACCATTCTATGATTTCCACTGGGATGCTGCCTGGTGTATTATCAGTTTCTCTGTGGAAATCTTGTCATGAATGCCAAATTTTATGGGGTTTTTATTCCTCATTTTATATTGCTTGGGAATTATTTACTAGAATTTTGTATGTTGTGTCTTCCTTATACTATTTCTTTTCTCAAAACTAAACCCCCACTCTGTCACACAAATATTTGTGCAGATATGATTTCCATTTTCTTTTCCTTCCATTGCTAGAATTATGATCCATGTAATTTTGGAAAAGAATAGACGATACCGAATTTTGTAATTTCAGCATGATTTGGGGAATCAGTAGTTTTATCCACAAAGCAACATTCAGCTTGCAGATCCTTTCACTATTTCAAGTAGCATTACTTATGTAGACTATTTTTTTAATTGGTACTTCTAAAATATTCTTGTACTACATCAAAATGTTGATGGCACAAAAGGACTCTAGAAGGCAAAGTAAGTGATAAAGGAATTACGGGAATTTGACTTGTGACATTTGTTATATGTTTATATTTTTTATGAAAGGAAAATAATAAAAGCAAATGTGAAATTCTGTACCAAAGAAACTGCTTTACCCAATGAAGTAGATATAGCAACCCTTGATTGATGTCTTCAGATAGGAGCATTTAAAAAGTTTTGTTAAAAACCTTTGTTTGCAGAAGTTAAGAAAGTTGTTCAGATTTTGTGATCAGGCTCTCAGGAGGCTTGATATTGAATTTGACTGATCCTCTGTATTTCCATCTAAAATAACCTAGTATCTCATGTGATTGCACTGTAAACAAGAATTATTTGTGATTAAAATTTTTACCTGAGAATAACTGTTTAGCATAATCAGTCTCCTGCTCCAGCAATTTTGAGTTGTCCTTAGATGATACTTACTTCAATACCAAGTCGTACACTGCTTTTAAAGTGAATTTTGATAGAGAAAGTTCACTGAAACTTGACTATCAAAAAACATATCTCATGCATTAAAATCTTGAGCCCAGTGAATCACTTGTGACATGACTGGAATTCTTGCAATTTTTGAATGTTGAATTTTTGTATGCAACAAATTTGTCTTAAACATGTCTGTAGATTCCTGAGCTATCTGGAGTCCAGCTGAACAAGACAGACAAAAGCCTAAGCATTTCTTTAAGAGGCCTGTGCTAGACTCGCCAGTAATGAAAATTAAGACAAGCTGAAAATTAAGACAATACTCAAGTCCAGTATCATAGGCTTTTTCAGGACTATAAGTGACTGTGGTGCATTTCTGAAATCTTCGAAGATTAACTCCCTGTTTACTTCCAATATATATGACTGAAAAATAATAACTTTTATTTTGTAGCAATTTTATCTTTGCAAAAAATATGAAGGGCTGACAGTTACAAAGAGCAATAAAGAAAAACTAGCAATATTTTGTTACACAGTTGGCTTTATCTTTAAAAAAAAAGTGTCAAACCCTCCTCCATAAATCAACACTCTACCACAGCTTTTGCTGCTGTAGTATTTAGGATGTGAGAGAAATCTGTGAGAACAGGTTGGCTATAAAACAGATAACATTAGTGGAGTTAAGTAGTAAATATATTTTCCATTTGGTTATCACCATGGACAAGTAGTGTTTGCAGGCTAATGAGTTGTTGGTGAAACAGCTTTTGATATTCTGTGAATATCCTGTTTATAGGGGATTGTTGTATGCATAATATATCATAATTCTAAAAAGCACATGTGTCGCGGTGCCTCCCCAAGTGTTGGCTAGCCCAGTGTCCTTGGCACAGCGGGCAGCAAAGGCCACTCTTGCATGCCGCTGCGGGCGGGAGCTATGGCCTGTGGGAACGAACCCACCAGACTGGGAGAGACGTGGAGCGACCTTGACAAAAGCAAAGGAGCTGTTCTTCTGGGGGTATCTGCGTTCCAAGTTTATTAGCAGTCTTAGGAGATAACTGTAGCTTGAAGGGAGATAAGCCCCAAAAGGCCCCAAGCACTCTGTGCACAGCCTTTTATATAGGGGAGGGAACAACAGTCAACCAATGGAATAACAACTGGGAGTGGCAAACGAGGTGACAAGCAGGGGAAACATCCAATGGGGTGGGAGGGAGGGAGGGGACCCTGGAGACCAGCCTATCACCCGAGGCCCTGGGTAGAACTTTCCAGGTGAAAGGGAGGGGCCTCAGAGTACCGGACAGGCCCTGGGGAGGGGTCAGGGGAGTGACTCAGCATAAATGAACCAATTGGGTAGAGGGAGGGATCAATGGCAGACGGAGGGGGGAGGAGAAGAAGGGAGGCCGGACCATTTAACATAAAGAGGGGGAGAGGGAGCAACCATAAGTGGGGGAAAGTTAAAACACACCCCAACACACATGATTTGTATTTTAATGGTTTTTGATCAAAATGTAAAGAGAGGCTTTCTTGAGATATTAATAAAAATAGCTTTTTTTTTTTTTTTTTTTTTGCCTGGAAAACAGATATAGAAGAACAGCCTAAAGCAAAGAAATCAGGTCTTGCCACATAAAAAAGAGGCATGTTAAGGCAAATTAAAACAAACAAAACAACCAAAAACCCCACAATATTTCCTTTATATGCAGATACACAGAGGTTATGTAAATGACAAGAAAAGTTGTCTTTTTTGTTCATTAAGATGAAAGGTTGTCCATTTTTGGACTCTCTTAGCCACCTGATTTCTTATCACCTAACATGCTTTGTTTGAAGCAGGCAGTGGCTAAGCAGTACGTAGCTGGTATTGAGGAAATGTCCCTGTCTGGCATCCAGGAGTCACTCTGGTAGTCACACTGGCATGGGCAGGGACTTTGGGCAGCTCCAGTGGGCTGACAGGTCCCCAGCTGCCTCCTTGCATGCCCCACCCTCACACATACCAGGTTTCCCATAGCAGTGTCTCAGTCCTCTCCATCCCTTAAGTAATTTAATTACGATGCAACAGCAACACAACAATCTGGGCTGGTGCTTCTCATGAGGGACTCTGAATAAAGAAAATTCTGGGGTGTGATGCCCTCCCAGTCTATGCAGCAAAAGTCTGGGGTCTTCCTTCTTGATCCTCTGTTCCTGGTGTTTCTCTGAGTGTCCAGTCAAGTGACTGACACAGGTCCGTGTGCCTTCTACATGTGTATATGTGTTGTTATAACTGATTAAATCAAGATCCTAAGATTAAAATAATAGAAATGTCAGTGTGTTTGAATTGTTTTCTCTTTTGTAAAAAGCAAACAATGGTGTTCAGATTGAATAATATGATCATCGTTAACTAAAAGTAAGATCAAGTCCACTGTTTCTGTATGAGGTAATAGAGGTAAGGAGGTATTCATTACAATGGTGCATCACTGGTCTTCCTGTCTTTATAACATTTTCAATTGCTTCCCTTTTTTTGCATAGGTACACATTATAGGCCATGCTAATAGCAAGAGGTAAACCAAATGGTAGTCTTTATGGACCTTTCGTATTTATGAAAGTTTGTCTAAAATTCAGGTATAATATCGATGGACAACTGAAAATATCTGTGTCTTTAAAATTTTGTATCGGCCAAAATTTCTGCTTCTCTACAGTTACCAAAACTTCATAGTCTTATTTGGTTCCTTTTCTGTATCTGCCTGTGATTTACAAGTCTCATTGTTTCATTAAAATTAGCCTGAAGAATTTTACAGTTCCCAATAGATTCAGAGCTTCTTGGTAATAAAATTATTGGTGTTTTCATTCTCTGAATTATCTAGTCAGCTTGGGATAAGAAACATTTGCTAACTGTAATTTACTGTATAGTTCAGTGGGTTTGTTTGGGTTTTTTGTTTTGGTTTGTGGTTTTATTTTTTTATTTTGTTTCACTGGTTTTTGGCAAGTTGTTTCTGCCTTACAGTGTTCAATTTGCCTGTATTTACATCAAGACAAGCTTCTTCTGTCCTTTTGGTCACTCCCTTTATTATTGTTTTGAGGACATTACCTTCTGGGGTGAAACTAATCTTATGCTCACTGCATCATTACCTTTTGCAATGGAATTAGCTATTCTTTGCCATTTATAATCATTAGCTGGACCCAAGAGAAGCCAAGAAAATGCACAAGGTGTGGATAGAATCTGCTGAGGAGATGACAGTTAATATTTCTGTGTACAGATTTGAGGTCACATGTCAACAAATTGCTAGAACTCTTCCTCAGGTAAATGCAGTATCTTTGGCATGGCAGATGAGTGGAACAAAATGAAATAGAGATATTAAAATCTAGATATTTGTCTGGTTTTCATATGTTTTCACAGGGGGCAAATAGAGGTGTGGTTTTGATAATTTTATTCAGACTATTATAATTATATTCCTTTTAGATTTCTTTTCCTGTCTGGATTATTTAGCAGCATTCATGTGGTCTTGGTTCAGAACAACAGATAATATCAAGCAGTGGCATTCCAGGCAAGGCAGAATATATTTTGGGGAAGATTTCACAGGGTATCTGGATAAAAGTAATGCATCCAAATGGAGATAATGTCAGGAATAAGCATGAGATGCTTTCTTGGCAAGATAGCTGCTATTTCTCAAGGCAGGAAATACCTTGTGGAATTTAGTGAATTTTTTTAATGCCCCCTTATTACTGCAACTAGAATAAACATAGTTTTCTGCCCTCCTATAGTTAATCTATCAGAAGAAAAATAAAAGGGAAATTACTGGATCAGAATGAGACTAGAAACCAACTCATAGGGTTGGAATCAATTGTATTTAATGTTCTCCTTAATGATAGAATAGAAGTAGGAGTGAAATAATGAAAATTATTGATGGCAGAATTTGGAATGCATCATCAGCATATAAGAATCACAATATATTTCAGAGGATGAATTTGATGTTTAGTGTAATTTTTATAGTATAAAGCAGAAAATGTGTTTAAGGAATAAAAATATTTTCTTATTGTAATGCAAACTCTACTGTAACTCAGCACTTAAAAATATGTGAATTCTGTTACTTAGCTATTCTGAGAATACATCTGAGCTGCCTATACGATGAGACAATTCGAAAAGGCAGATAGTTTTAAGATGGTTTGGGAGTCAAGAACAGTTATGAAAGGACTACGTGGTATGGTTTCCTGCAGTTGGAGGAATTGAACTTAATTTACAGTCCTCATCAACCTTTCTGTTTTTGTCAATAATAAGTCAGAAAAACACTCATGCCTTTTAATGTCAATCTTGAAATAGTCTGCTTGGGTTTGTCTATTTAGTATAGCCCTTAATGTATCTTTCTTCTGAGTATTTTCCTGTTCTCTTCTTGGTCACATAGCTCTTTTCTTGGAAGAGGGCATGAACAGTTGATTCGCTCTCCATGCTGCTTGTGGTTTTCCTAGATAATTTCTGTACCCTTTAACATTTCATATATATTGGGTTTTGGGTTTTTTGTTTGAAGGATAGTGCCTGTCCTTTCCTCTTTCCAAGTCAGACCTTATGTAATCAAATTTTGAAGCAGGAAAATCAACTTCAGTCCTTGATATTTTGAGAAAAATAAGTTGGAGTCATTGATATTTTGATTTGAATACACAGAAATCAGTCCTAGATCTAGGATATCCTAGGACAGATTTTTTTCATATTTTGGTACTTTGTTTTTGTAAAACCCCTTCCTTCACTGAGGATAACATAAATAGTTCTATTTTGATCATATTACATTATTTAATTTTTTTAGAAGTTTTTTCTTTTCAAGTGTTGCTTTCATGCAACTATAGTATAATATCATGCTGCCCTTCTATTTTTGTTCTTGTGTCACCAGATTTAGGCATTGTTCCAGCTAAGCATTTAGGAATAGTGTAAAATTCATCCATACTCCAGTAACTATTTTACGCTGTTCAAGATTTCATTTTCTCCAGACTTCTTTTCCGAAATCAGTGTGATCTTGTACATTGCAAGAGTAATTCCTAATTTTGTTGTCTAAAAGTAGACATTCAATCTTACTCTACTCCTTTCCTTTTTCCTTAATGTATGTGCCATTTTGTATTTATAAAATACAGATTGTTTGTATTGAATGTTTTGAATTGTTTACCTAAAATAAACCAATGAATTGTTTACCTAAAGTATCCAGTGAGGCCCTCACACATGTCTTCATCCCCTGGGCAGCACAGATCCTAATCTTCATGCAAGAATAATGTTTAAAATACACCTGTGTCATGTTTTCCTTCTGTTTTGTAGGAAGCATTTATTTTTTAGCTTTGCTGCATTTAAACAAGTGGAGGAAAGGTTCAAGATAAAAAGAGCACTTACTTACCTCTCCATATATTCTGTATGAATTAAAATTACAGCTAAGGAGTTTTTGAACCTGCATTTGTGATTCTAAGCTACCAGTTTTGTTTCCTTTATTTCTTGGATGTCTAGGAAGGAATCCTGTAGACTTCCTTCTGTTACATTAGAATTCCTTTTTATGTATGAAAATTTCTCTTCTTTATCTCCAAATTGTCCTTTAAATCCTTGCAGTTGCTTTCAGGTTCACAGATGACATGAAAAAGAAGACTAAGTCAATTAAGAACTTGGCTCTGTATATAGCTGGACATCTGTATAAGGAAATATGTCATTTAATTTACTTATGAATTGCATATGAAGGCAAGGATGAATTGGCCCAACTAGCATATAGGTGATTTTTTTCATATGTTGTTAAGAAATATCACAGTATGTGTGTGCTGGCCTCAACCCTAAACTTTTGACTGCAAAGAAGAAAAATTTGATCTTTTTATAGTAGCTTACATTTAAAAGTTAAAATGAGAAGACACATATATATAAGTGTGTGTGTGTGTGTCTGGAATGTTGGAGAAAGTATTGTCTACTGCTGACAAAGACCCTCTCCCCTGAGTCATATTTTGTATATATGATGCTTTCCATCTGAAGAGCAGATTTTTTAAATACCTGAGAAAATATACTCCCTTTGTTGGTTCTGTCTTAGTGTTAACATTTGCTTTCTTCCCCCCAGTCTAAACTTTGAATGGCCAAGTCTTTTTACTAAAGAAACTTACTTTAATTTTTTTAATTACCTACACAAGCTATGAATGTTCTGTTGAGCCTGTAATGTAGTGTCTGTCAAAAAAAATTGTCCAGTGTCCTATGCAGTGTTTTATATTTCTATTAATAACCTGCAAGTTGTAGAAAGGTTTTCAGACTGTATTTGTTCTGGAGGAGGAGTGGTGTTAGAGGAGTATGTTTGGCCACAGTGTTACATTATTCATTAACACATGAGTAATATATGATCTTGCATGCTGGGAATGCCACGTTTTTAAAAAAAAAATTCTAGTAGTAATTTCTAGATTGTTAATTGTAATGCTAAAGAAATATTATATTTTTGGAGTTGTAGTAATAAAAATTTAGCAAAATACATACATGAACATTTATACAATATACTAATATATTTAGGCGGTTTAGTATTGACAGCATATTTGTCTGTTGTTATCAGTTAAAGTTAATGTAAAGAGTTTAGTCTTTTTCATCATCAAAGCATAATATTTGTGCTGAGAAATCTACTATTAAATAGAGTATTGGTGATGAGCCAACAGGATCCAGTGCAGTAATCTGCTTTTGTGAAATACCTCATAATGAAACATTTTGAAATATGAAAGATGACCAAATAAGTCTGCTGTTTGTGTAGCTGCTTGAAATTTTTTTAAATTTTATACCTGATTAAATGCAAATATTTTGATTTTCCCCTCCCTCTTTAGGTATTAAATGGTTTCAGTAAGTGATTTGAAGTAAAAGTAATTAGCAGTGCTGGCAGCTTTGATTTCCCCCATGTTCACATGAAATTGTGGGATAACTTGCTATGCAACTTCAAAGAGAAAGTTTATTACTTTGGACCTTCTTTTCATTAACTGTGGAGATGCAGAGCTGCCTGCTCCAGGATATAGAATCCTGTTTGTGGAACTGAAACCTTTTTATCTCACAGATTGTAGATTTGTAATCTAGTATCTACTGTTATTTTAACAGGCATGTATGTAGTGACATGGGCACATGGGCCTTGACTTCTTTATTTTAAAAAGCTGCTATACATTTATCAAAAAGAGTCTTTGACACCATAATTCTGTTACTGCAGATAAAATTCAGCATTTTGACATGGAAAAAAATCTTGTAGGACTGTTAATGAAGCTAAATACACATGTGTGTTGGCAGCTATAAATCTGTGCAGTGTGCCCATATTGTTGATCTACTGTTTCAATAATGATCTAAAATTGTTTTAATTTATAGAATAAAGTTCAAGTACTTCTAATAATTTGGCATACATTACACTGCATAAGCCTTTTCAAAAATTAGTGATGGGAAATCAGCTCTAGCTTTTATTTGTGTTTCTTTACTGCTTTTTTTCTTCAATCTTTGGTAGTCTGTTGCACTTGGAGCAATAGGCTATTGAGTAGTTTTGTCTTCATTGCAACTAATTTCATTTTACTGTTACATTTAGAAACATTGCCAGCTTTGTTTCATTATTTTAGCTCTCTAGTTCCACAGCCTTAGAAGGCAAAGGACAATTAAAATTTACTTCAGGAAGATGGAGTCCACACCACAATTGTACCCAGATTGCCACAGCCAATGATACCACTGTCCGAGGCTGGGATACACGGAGCATGAGGTAAGGAGAGCTTGCAGTCATGTTCTCTAGAAAAGACAATCTCCTTTGGAGGTAGATTTCTGCATTGCTCCTACCATAATTTTTTTTGTTTGAAATGATAAGTGGCAAACTTATTGTTTATAAATGGAATAGAAAGGCTTGCATAGCTGATATAGTTGCAATTTAACAAACAGTTTTCTCTGCTGTTCCCCCCTCAGCTTCAATTCTAACTTGTATATTGAGTTTTATTGACATGTACTAGTCTCACAAGGATTTGTTCAATACATAGGAATTCATACCTGAATGAAGCTGTTTTGTAACTCAACCTGAAAATGGTTTAAGAGTCCTGACTATGCTATGAACTATCTTCATAGCATTTAAAGATGACTTTAATCTTTGAAGGCAGTTCACAGGTCAAGTTCGCTCTTCAGTTCTGATTTTAACAAGGTGTTCTATATTATATTAATGATTGCAGCATAGTGGTTATAAGAAATCACTGAATCTATCAAAATCATAACCAAATAAAAGCTTTGAATATACATAATAAGGCATTTTTCCCCCTGCTTAGTTGTGATTTTGATAAGAAAAGGAGTGATGTTGTGCACATCTGTTGCCATGACTACTAAAGCCTCTTCAAGCTTTTTTAAAAGTACACTTTATCCCCTTAGCACATAGTAATTTATCACTAAACCAAGAAGACTGATGTCTTGTAATAACTTCTGTTGCTTTAAAGGGCGATGACTTTAAATTTAGTTCAGTGGTTGCTGCCAGCTCAGAGTTGTAGCAATAAATCCCTTGTTTGCTAGTCTTTGTGGTTTTGCCAAAAAGATTTATTTAATGAAAGAAAGTTAAAAATACAATAATTAAAAGTCTCTTCCTGTGAAGTGTTTGAAAGTTATGTTTGAATGTCCCATTCTTTGCCTAGTAAACTGATACATAAAAATTAATTTTATGTAATGTGTATACTTAGATTTATAAAGGCGCCTTATAAAGACAAGAGTGGAAAAAGAGGACAAAGGAGAAGGGGTTTTATTAATTTCCTTTTGTAATCCTATTTCTAACATATAGCATGCAGATCTTTAACCAAACACTGTGTTTCGAAGAGAGAATATTAAATATTGTAAAGCTGCTTTATGCTCTGTCTCATTAGAAGAAGCATCTCTATCTTGCATTAAAGGAATTCTCTGAGTAACTTCTGTGAAAGCTAGATTATGTAGATGTTGTAGTCTGGATTCTCAGTGAAAGGGGTAGCTTGGTTAACAGAAGCAAACCCCACTATTGTATTTACTTTAAGTAAAGCCCAGAGTAAATAAGTCCTTAAAACTGGTTTGTTCTTAAACCAGTTTGATAACTAGGCTATGCCAAAGAGCTGTTTGCTCAAAAAGTACTCAAAAAGTATGTGCAGTAGTAAGTTTCAACTTCATTTAGGCTGTAATATGTCTATTATGTGAATATTTCCTAATAGGCTAGAAGTAGGAGTTTAAAGTCAGGGCAGTATAAACTGTGGCAGTATGAGAAGCATAAAAAGAAGGGGGAGGGCGGAATCAAGGGCAGATAACTGTTCTACCAGAAAAGTGAAGAGAAGTACTAGAAGTAGCTAGAATAGCTGCGCCTGCAGAGACTGGTTATGATAGCTGCAAGATAGAGGGGGCGAACATTCTTTTGGATATAGCAAACAAAGAAGGGGACAGGAAAAAAGATTGTCAGGAAGAGTCCTAGACTAGACTAAGAAGCAGTCTTAATCAGAGAAGAGCTTGTGAAGCAGAGAAGGCAGACACTAGGCTGATTGGATTTAGAGAGAGAACGTTATCAGGAAAATTCAGACTCCAAGGCTAAATTCTAAATAACATGTAAGAAGAATAATATGAGAAAGTGGAGCCAATAGATGGAGAAAATGTTCATGTGGTCTAGCAGTAATCTTACATCATAAGTTGGAAGTTTAGTGTACATATTATTGCTCTAGATAGGGTGAAAAGCGATGATAAGAATGTTCATATTTGGGGTGGAAAGGGATCAAATGGTCAGAATAATAGTTAAGTTTGGATAAAGTCTTTCATGGTGACTAGTCCTGAATATACAACGGGCATATGAATGTATGTCCTGAATATACAATGGACAGCAGTATTTTTGAGCCCTTATACACATCTCTAAGCAATGCAAGAAATTTGAAAGGTGCGGTGAAGGAGGAAGGATGTGTTTTACCACAGCAAGCATGCTTTAGACTTAGTATTTTTGCCGTGTATGTATTCTAAAAAAATAAGTGGAAGCTTAAATTCCACTCCTAGAATACTTGGTAGAAAGGCATGCCTGAATGATATCCTTAGCCTCTCAAACACTGAGAAGAGTGTTGATGCTAGATATCTTAGTAATTTCACCAGTGACAGCTGGAGCTGTCAAGATAGGGCTTAGTACAGACCTGATAACTTGGAATCTCTCCTTCTGGAGCTATTTCGCTTTGTATTAGTAGATAGGTATTAACAGCAAGAGACTATGTGATCGTGACAGAAGACCATAAGTATATGTAATTTTCACAAGAAATAGGAAGTTTTGGTCAATATGTTTACTAAAGAGAAACATTTTTCATTTAAAGAAAAACCAAAAGCTCATGGAGTGCTGAAGAGTTCCAGTGAAGATTGTAGTAGACTAAGCAGAACTTTAGATGGTATATTGACAAAACTTTGGCTTGGACAAAACCAATCATACAGTAGTGGAAACAGGAAAAAATCAGACAATCCCCAAGTTTAAGAGGCAAGGTAGGGACACAAGCTAATGGCACATGATGTTTTGAAAGATATGCTAGGTTGTTAGCAGTACCACAGATGTTTTCTAAAGTGGTCCAGATGGATGAGGTTGTGTCTGGCTGAGTAGTTTAAGGGCCACAGGTAAATTAGTGATAAATGCAAGAGCTCTAGAAGGTAAATTCAATACAGAGCAGTAATAAAAAGCTGTCGTTGATATCTGTTGCAGCCTTTGCATCTCAGCTTTTCCTACTGAAGTAGATGTCAACAAATAGGGAACTAGTATAACTACTTAGGGGTGAAGAAGTTCTTACCTGAAACTGTGGTTTAGTAGCAGACATGACACTTATTATAGAGCTGTGCTAGAATCATCTGGAACTACTATTTCCTTTTAACTCCAGATGATCTTAATGGACACAAACATGGAAGGTGCAAAGCATCAAAGCAAGCTGAGGAATCTATACAAGTCACTGCTAATAACTGGGAATTCCCTAAGCTCTGCACTAGACATGGGAACTCTAGGTCTGTGGGTGCTAAGGGGATTACGCAAGTTTCCAGGGGAACAGATTTCTGTAGGTGGAGTGCAGTCAGCTTTTTATAGACCATTCAATTTTTTTAATGTTTTACAGGCAGATATATTGTATAGAAAATGCACACGGACAGCTGGTACGGGACCTGGACTTTAATCCAAATAAACAGTACTACCTGGCTAGCTGTGGAGATGACTGCAAGGTGAAATTCTGGGACACAAGAAATGTCACTGAACCAGTGAAGACACTAGAGGAGCATTCCCACTGGTAGAACAAATTACCTGTGTGCTGTTTTGTGGGTGGATGGCTTATATAATTTATTCAGCTAATTATTTTGGTGTTTAGGAGCAGTGCAGACTATGTTTGTACTATTGTGCATAATCATTTTTTTGCACAGAGGAAAGGTTTCAGCATGTCAATGTTTTTTGTGTAATTGTAAATTAAGAGTTTAGATAACATTAGTCTAATTGGCAAGAAACTGTTGTTAACATTGTTGGGAGATGGGGTACACCTTTGAGAAGCACAGCACAGAACTTGGCCCGTGGGGTCCAGCTGGGACACAGGTGTGCTTTCCCAAATGGAGCCTGATGTGCTGCACCTGATGTGCAGTAATAAAACAGTTTCCATCTATCCTTCTATTGTCACATGGTTGAAATGTTCAGTAATGCAGCTCAACTTTTTTTATGTTCTTCACAGTCCTTAAGTCAGAATATGCAAGTGAATAATTTTATTCTCTGAAATAAGATTTAGAGCCTGTATATACTGCACTGGCCTATGGCTGAAGTAAGGAGAGAATCTTGCCTGATGTCTGCAAATTTCAGTGCTTAAGAAAAGATTAATTATTCATATTTTATAAAATTTGGGTTGGAATAATTCTTGCAAAATAGATCCAGTTCCTAAAGCTACTTTAAGGGAAATTAAGATGGGAATTAGCAGAAACATTATTTATACTTTTTTTCTTCAGAATATTCAAAGAACAACAACAAATCAAGAACCATAAGACATTTGGTATTAACTTGATATGTAAAATGTAAAAATTGAAGAGAAATAAAGTCCTACATTTGTTTTAGGATATATTTTCAACTTCACTGAATGTTGTGAGATTTTTGTTTAAAAGGCTATTTTTAATCCATATTTTGCTTTGGGGAATTTTTGTGTTTAGGACTTAAGTACTTATCTGGCTTACTCAACAGTGAATTGGCATGTATCCTCAAGGAACAATACCATTGAATGGTGTGATTTGTTGTTGTGTTTTTTTTTTTTAATTTGTTGAATGACGCCTCATAGAAAACAGATGACATGAAAGCTTAAAAGTCTAATGAAGATGGCAAAAAAAACAGTCTTTGGAATGAGGCATGTTACTTCTATACATATTTAAAACATTGAAAAGATGAAATTTTAGTGCTGCTCTTAAAAGAAATTGTTTAACAGTTGTGCACTATCTACCATGAATAGTCTCCCATTCTATCTGCTTTAACTTTTTTAGGGTCTGGAATGTCAGATACAATCATTCTCATGATCAGCTGATCCTTACAGGAAGCAGTGATAGCAGAGTTATCCTGTCTAATATGGTATCAATTTCTTCTGAACCATTTGGCCATATGGTAGATGATGATGAACTCAGTGACCAAGAGGACCAGCATCAAGAAGACAAGTATGAAGTTTCTTGAGTTTTATGTAGATGCTTATAATTTGTTCTTTCATTGTAATGGTTTACATGCTGTTTATTTTGCTGACTAGGATTTTTGTGTACAGGCCTTTCAGGTAAGTAGTTAGAATTCGCACTTTGTTCTTTCTTCAGTCTTGGGTGGAATACACTCTTTAAATGTGATTGGCACGGTCACTCCACGTTCACTGGTAGGAAGGGAATGGTGATGCTGGGAATCAGTCCTAAAGTCCACTAGGTTGGTGAAAAGATTCACTTTAAGGGAGCTCTGGTTCAAGTCAAGCACGTAGAATAATCTAGGTTAAGTTAGAATGTGAAAATATGCTTTTGTATTTGCTGTGTATGTGTTAGGACCTTTAGGAAATGTTACCAGTCTAATGATAAGCTTCTGCATGGACAGAAGAAATGAAGTATAAACACTTTTTTTTCCCCCTAATTTTTCTCTTAATATCTCTGACTGCTCTGGAACCCAGTAACTCATCAGACCTAGATCAAGCAAACCTGGAGCTTGGTTTCAACATTCTTGGTAGAGAATAGTACATGCTATTGGCAAATGTTGTAAACTCATCCATTTGGTTTGTATGGAATCAAATAGTTTCCTTGTGAATTGTGTAGAGATGGGGTTTTAGTAAATAACTTTGTATATACGTGTATATAGGAAGTTCTGTAGATTGAGGTTGGGCCAAGGCTTTCTAATTTTGTGACTAGCTTTCATGGTGATCTTCAGCAAACTCTTCTTTCCTTCAAAGTGAATCAGAGAATTGCAGAATGAATTAGATTGGAAAAGACCTCTGAGATCAGCGTCCAACCTGCAACTGAACATTATTGTGTCAACTAGACCCTGGCAATGTCTGCCACCCTCAGTACACCCCCAGCAACACTGATTCCACCACCTCTCTGGGCAGACCATTCCAATTTCTAATCACCCTTTCTGTGAAGAAATGTCTTTAAATGTCCAACTTAACGATACCCTGGTATAGCTTGAGGCTGTGTCCTCTCCTGTCACTTGTTGCATGGGAGAAGAGACTGACACCCAGCTGGCTACAATATCCTGTTAGGCAGTTGTAGAGGGCAGTAAGGTCACCCCTGAGCATCCTCTTCTCCAGACTAAACAACCCCATCTCCCTCAACCCCTCCTCATGACTTACTCACTAGACCCTTCACCAGTTCCATTGCCCTCTTCTGGAGAGTTCTACAAAGCTGTCTGAAATTACACAGGCAGATTAACTCCTGAATGATCTTTTAAAATAAAAAATAGTCAGATGTGATAGGGAAATTACAGAAAAGATCCCCTGGTTGCTCAGCTGTGTTTCCTAGATATTCCAGCGAAGATTCTAAATAAAGTTTAGGTTACTTCTCTAGTTGCATTTTGAAGGTTGCTCTTGAACCTTAATTTTATTAATGCATATGCAGTTTTGCTCTGAATAGTTTTGGTGTTTTGTCTTCATTTAAAGGACTTGGAAACTATTCTTTTTTAATACTAAGTAAGAAAGTTACTTCATATATAGAAATGGTATATTTTAAATGTACAGGCTTCCTTTAGATGATTTTCTCTGTGTATTGTAAGTGCCTGAAAAATCAAGGAGTATCAAATACCTAAAAATTTTGCTCACATCAGCAATATATACTTACCTTCTAGAATGTATCTAAGTTACAGTGTTTTAAGTATAGAATCAAAGAATGGTTTGTGTTGGAAGGAGTCTTAAAGATCACCTGGTTTCATCTCCCTGCCATGGGCAAGAACATCTTTTGGTTCCTTATCTTTGACTGGAGATTGCAATTTATTCTCTTCTGGATGGAAGATAAATAGCATTAGTCAAAATGAGAAAGAGACCACATTTTTTTTTAATATGGTGGGAATGCTTTAAAAATATCACAAGTAAGTAGCATTCTGATAACCATTGTATAGTAGATTATTTGGAATTCTGAACTTCCGTGCATTGTAGGCTGTGTAGGTTGTTTCATTAAGACACAAGTCGTTGTTCTAGAATAGGAATTTTTAAATTCAAGGTCATCCAATGCAATACAACAAATATAATGCATATTTTCCTGTGGCTATGGAATGGGTGTAAACCACAACATGAATGGTTTGTATAGTAATGATCTAGAGCCCTTGCCTGTTCCCAGAGGCTATAGGAGTATCAATTCTGCATTTGGTTTTTAAATATGTGCTTTTCAGCTGCTCATCTGTTTTCTATAAAACCTGGGAAAACACATTAACTTCTGTAACCTTTGCTTGTTACTGAGAAAGTCTTGTTTTAGGCTCCCTCTTCTTCCCCCTTGTTATGAATTAAGTCAGAAGGATGTTTGCAAGCTGCTGCAGCCTTGAACTGTTGCCAAATGAATGTCTGTTTAGTTCTGAGTGCACAAATTAAGTAGGGCATAACAGCTGTTGGGAATACTTCTTGTTAGTCAACCACTAGTGCCAAATACTTTGGTTCTGATACCCTCCTAGAGACCTCTGTGAAGTCTGTTACACCATTCCATAGGTACTGTCTCTTGCAAGATACAGGTTTTCACTCTATGGTTTAATGGGGGAGGGGTTTCTTTGGGTTTTTTTTGTTTTGTTTTGTTTTTTGGGGTTTTTTTTTTGCCTGGGTATGTTCTAGACTTTCAAGAAAGTGTTACAGTCTCACAAGGTTCATTTATCCTGTTTTGGAGGACATCTGATTTGTTATTAAACAGCACACAAATGCTGATAAAGAGAATGTCTTTTTCAGGTGTATTGTGAAATACACCAGGAAGAGCATATATTTGTACAACTAGTGTTGTACAAATAGCCAGTCACCTTCAGACTTGAGTAGCATATCTGTCTCAAAAGGTTAAAATATCAAGTGGAAAGAAAGGAAAATACTATTTCTGCATTTTATTTGTCCTGAACACAATCACTGGTGAAAATCCTCCTTGGATTAAATATAAAAATGATGCGTATGTGTCAGTTTTATTTTCAAATGTTTATTGTTTTTTCTACTTAGTAAAGTCCACATATTCTGAAAACATTGCATAGTTTAAACTTCTTCCTGAGATCTTTAAGACTTGTTAATTTTTAATATCTTTTAGAGTAAATTTCCTAATTGTTACTGTATTTCTTGGCTGGAGATAAAAACAAATAGTATGTCAGTTTCACCCTTCCTTGTTCAGCTGTGCAGAGCTATGCATGAGACGACCCATTCAATAATTCTTGCCTGCTGTAGTTGCCTGGTTTTTAAGGTTCCCAACTGAAAATAATTATTTGGAGATAAATTTTTTCAAAAGAAAAGAATTCAAGTTCATTGCATAATGGACAGACAAACTAAAAGATGCTGGATTCCATTCTTCACAATAATTTCTTCTTAGTGTTTTCTTCCTTCAATGTTTGTCTGTGTTGACATCTTAGGCCTATCTGTTCCCATGCTTGAATAAGTAATGTAGCTAGGACTGTTGCATGAAGATCTGTCTCTTGTTGAAATCAACTAGTTCTTCTTAACTGCTGGTTTAGATCAGATAAGTAATTTCTGTCTTTTCCCTACTGTTTAACTGCTACTGTTGTTTCTCTCATCAGTCATAAAAGGTAAGAGCAGGCAGCTTCCCTGTGTCATGTCAAAGCTCTTCATAGCCTGTATCATGTGTCTCATAGTAGTCAGGAGGAAAAATAATAGAAGTAGGAAAAGGAGATGTACTTCCTTTGGATATGTTACTAGCCCCTGACAATTTGCAGTTCAGGGACATATACTGCCTTTTGAATAATCTTTGGGGACTTCTGATTCTTCCATATGTGGTTTTCCTTTGCTATTAGCCATAATCTTGAATTTCTCTGCTCTCACTAACTGTGTTTTCATTTGTTCTAAAAGATGCCAGCTGTGCTTGCATGGTTTTTGTGAAATTTGTCTAGGAGAGACATGCCAACTGTGTTTGTTTTCTTGCGCTGAATTAAGAAAGGCTTCGGTGCTCTCTGCATGGAAAGCACAAAGCTGCTGTTGAAAACAGGTGTAGTCTAAGAGGAGGCTGCAGTTGTCTACAGAGAAGAGCTATAGGTGTGGACCAAAGGGCAGCTATCCTATATTCTGGTCAAGTCCCTAGTCTGGATTATTTAAAGCACAGTTAAAATATGGGGAAAAAACCAAAAAAAAACCCAAAAAAACACAGCTGAGAGTGAAGTGCTGTACTAGTTCAGAAAAGTGCACAAAATAAATGGAAACAGAACAGATAGGGTTTCATCCCCAAAAGAAAGCTAATGTGCCTGGATAAGAACATGAGGAGTGATTTTCAGTGCCTAAGCTGGAACAAAACTTTTAAAACATGGAATCATTCCACATCTGTGGATGCAATTGCTTTTCAGGCTTCTCCTTGACCTCCTTCTTTAGTGGTTTTGCACTCTGTTGTTGCAAGAACTTTCTCCCTGCAACACTGAACTTGCCTGAGTTCTAAATCTCCTCAAGGTGACTGTCAGCTCCCTGTAAGATACTAAGAGAGCATTGGGAACTGTCTTCCTCCTAAGGGAGGTAGTGAGTGTCTTGTATCCTTCCTTTAGTCTTTGGTCATCCAAAGTCCTGATGCTAGTGAGTGAGTCTATATGTTACTGTATTAAATTATTCTGGTCGTAATTTTAATTCTACATTGGTCTTTCTAGCAATAAAGGAAAGCTACTAGGTTCTTGCAGTTTAATGTGGCCATGGTGACTTGCCAGTCAGGATTCCTTTTCTTCAGTTACTCCAATAGTTTTGTTTGGCTTATAGGTTTAAATTATGAACTGTGTAGCTCTCTGTTTGGTATGCTGGTGATATGCAGCGTGAGAAGAATATTTGGAGTCATTTGGAGCACTGGCAGCAAGGTACGTACTACATCTGCAGCTGTGTTTTTATTCTTCATGACTTCTGTAGCCGAAACTTTATGACAAGGCTCAACTGGTAATGGAGGACTTGCTCTTGAAGAGAAAAAAACTTATTCTGCATCCATAACAATGAAAATATTTATATGGTCAATAACATTTTCAGTTTATACATCAGTCC